GAAATAAAGAGAGAGAGAGAGAGAGAGAGAGAGAGAGAGAGAGAGAGAGAGAGAGAGAGAGAGAGAGGCATTCTTTCACAACCTTCTACTTCTGTGCCGCCGCGAGAGCATAAAAAGCGCGCAAAAATAACGTCAACAAAGCGAAGAAAGAACCGCACTCGCGCCTGGCGCCTGGCAGCGTTGGCCAGCGCATTGGGCCAGCGGTCTGGGCAAGTTATTTTTAGACTAGTGTTATTTTTCGATCCGATGCCAGGTTCTTGTTTCATTGATCAACTGTAGCGTTGCCATCACAATGTGAATTTTGTGTAGGATTCCTTACAAAAATTTTCCTCTCTATATTGTGTATTGAGATGGATTGTTTCTATTTATCTAATACAAAAGCAGTAGTTAAGATCACAGACTCTGTTAAATACAAGTGTGCTTTATTTCTACAAGATTGAATTGATACAAAGTTAATGATAGGCAAATGGCGGGCGGGTACATTATTGGCAAATGGTCAATTTTCTCTTGGCTTAATCATTTCATAATATTTATAAATCATTAGGCGTACCCATCATGACGTGTCCTGCAAGTCTTTTTGTAGGTACAATTTGACACAGACACAAGGAGGTTAAGCCTAACGCACATTTTAAAATACATGTACATATATATAATAATCATTCTTTCTGACTTTCTGAACTAAAGGAAGACCAACCTGGCAATAAGCTAGCCCAGGCCTATTTGCTGCTTTCCCAACCGTCGACGGGAAGTTGGGGGAAGCAACTCTGTTACAAACATTACTGTTTACTATGCCGGAAGCAAGAGAAATTAGCGCCGACGTCTGCATTTAGCAAAAATAAGCCATTATTTGTTGAAATATTACCTTGAAAATTGCTCTTTTTGCAAGATCTGCATTAGCATCGAATACGGCGAATTGAACATCATACTATTCTGATGTTAAAAATGAAACGAAGAAAGGTAATTGCGTCTCACCTTCTGGTCTTTCCCGTCTTTCTCTGTCACAACATGACCGAATTCACGAACAAAACAACAATGGTCGCCACCACGGACTGTAGCCTACTGTAATTGTTTGACAATGGACAGAGCCGTCTTATTCTATTACTTAACTGTCAATAATTTTGTGGTGTTGATATAGATCTAGTCTAGGATTCTTGCTCTAGATCTAGATCTACATCTAGTCTAGTCTAGCTATCTATCTCAATGAAGTCAATGGCCTACTCATTGTGAAGACCTCCACTGTCACTGTGGACCAAACAATGTGAGGCCCAACTTCCTAACCCTAACCATTCAATTTCATTTCAAAGAAATCAACTGAGGAGTGTGAGGAATAGAGATCCAGATCTAAGGTCTAGTAGTGAACTGTCCTCCCATGATAGTACTTGGAAGTTTTGTTACAACAGTTTATTGCTAGATCTAGACTCTAGACTAGAGTAGAGCCTAGAATAAAAATCCTAGATCTAAGAAACCTGGAGGCCTACTTTCCCTAGCCTCCTAGCCTAGGGCCACATGTACATTCCAACCAGGCGATTGTGCGTGTGTGTGGGCGTGCGTGCGTGCATGCATTTGTGTGTGTGTGTGTGTATGTGTGCAAGTGGCATGGAGGTGTGGGGGAGGGGGACTTGCAAGCATGTGTGTGTATGTGTAAACTTGTAATATTTAAGTCCCATGGAAAGCAGCCTTAATTCAAATTCAAGTCAGTTGTGTGTTGGTTCGGCTCAGGCAAGCTCTCACACCTATTGGTGTGGCAAAAAAACATGCGAGGCGTCTAGCCCTTGAAAATGAAAACTGCGCATTTTAAAATACTTCTAGTGCGAAGATCTCTTTGAAACTTTCAGTATTTCTCAAAAAATCATTTTGACAGACTGCTATGCAAAGCTTATGAATCAGATTAACGAGTAAATTTCCTCTTTGGAAACTGGTGGCACAGAGTTCCCCACGTCGTATGGATACGATAGTAAACTACGGATAGGGATAATGAATTTCTCTGTCCATCTCGGTCCATCTCGGTAAAAATAGGTACCGAAATCATTGACACTTCACTATCACATCCTTCCTTTTCTTTTTGTTTCTCGTAAGTCTCAGGTCACTATTACTTTCAGTGACTTTGTACAGTGTCAGTCCAGCAATAAGTACAAGTATACAATAATTGAATTATGGCCGTCGTTATTCGGACTCAATATGAAAAAATGTTATTCGGACTCTGGTCCGGAAAAAAGGAAGTGTCTTCGTTCTATAGATCTAACGTTCAGTGCTTCCAATTTTCCGCCATTCTTTAGTTTCCCCCACACCTTTTCTGCCGATCCGATGCCCGCCGCCTCATTGATACGCTCCCCCCCCCCCCCCCCAAGGAGTTTAGAACTACTTTTAATCTCCTTGCCCCCCCACCCCCCATGTTTCCCACCTTCTTTGTTGTAGAAAAAGATAAAATTGAAGATTAGCAGACCACCTGGCACCTGCATATTATTATTATGAGCTGTGTAAAAAAAAAAGAAGACCGATTCGTTCAAATACACAAGCCTGTGTCATATCGATTGTTTACCAAGACAAAGTTGTGTTTCTGTGTAGAGCTGAGCATACGGCAACTTTTGATTCCATAGACCAGCGCACAATTCATTACGTAGATCTACGTCAAGACTAGCTTATTATTGTAATAATGATCAGTTGCCGGGGGGAAAAAGACTGACACGTATGCGACGTTCAACGCCCGGACCGATAGTACCCCCCCACCCCCCTCCCCGACACGCACACAGCCACACGTGTGCAGGCCGCCCATCCGACCCCGACACACGCTAACGAGCCATCTTTAATTGCTTCTGATGACCTCTTGACAAATAAACATTTATTAGAAGCGCTATAACTTTTCAGGCCGGCCTCAAATTCATCATAAGATTAAAACTCGGCTCCTGCACAAAACGCTTTTTTGCCCGAAGTGATCCCGGTCTCTACCCAGCCTGAGGCGAGTCACGAGTGAGGCAGGACAGGAAGCCGGAGTCACGAGTCACAGGAAGTGGGAAGTGATGTCATGCTGGACAAGAATCAGAGTCCGAATAACATTTTTTCATATTTGGACTCGAGTCCGAATAATCACTTCGTTTAATTATATATATATTCCCATCATAATCACTGTGTTTCTTCTCAACAGAGAGTGCGTGAGTCTGGGTCAGATGAAAGTGATCAGTCAGCAGAGAATGAAAGTGACTCTGAGCGTAGAACACGGGTCACAAGGTCTGCAGCGTCCACTACAGGTCAGTCACAGATTGCTAATATGTTTTTAAAATCTTTTACCCTTTGGATCTGACTCTCAGTATTTTTTTTTAATGTTATTTTTTAGGTGAAAGCATATATGTGAGGCAATGTGGTGAAATCAGGTGCTCGTCAAAATAATGAAGTTGAAGAAACCGGCACTTTTCCACCCGATTGGTAATATTTATTGAATTTTCGTTTTTTGGCTCAAGATACCTTTCTTTTCCTTATAAAAACACCTTTCCATGTGAATTTCACAGAAGAAACGTTGTTTAAAGGGACAAAATATGTAGTTATATCTTTTTCAAGGACTCTCAAGCTATTGAAATTGTCAAACTTTGGCAGCCATTTTCTCGCTAATTTTACCATTGAAACCGTCGACCCCTCCTCCTTCAATCGCAAATATATGTATGGACTTCTATTCAAATAAGCTTTAAGATGTTACTAATAACCCCAAATGCCCCAAAAATTGACAAGCGCCTGATTCCACCATGTCGTGACACATATGTGTGTGATTTCATCTCTACCATTGTTTGTCCTTTTTTTTCAATGTTCTGTGTTTTCTACAGGGAGGAATGGCATACATTTAGTACAACTTTTAGGCTTTATTATGTTCTGGAATTGTTAATGGTTAATTTTTGTTTTTTCAGCCACAGGTGGTTCACCATTGAAAGAGTCACCGCCTGTGAAAAGGAGAAGAATCATCAGGGAGCCTGTACAGCTTGAATCAGACTCAGAAGATGCAGCAGAGTGTGGGGCCAGTAAAGGAGGTGTGAAAGGCAAGAGCTCATATAAGGGGAAAGTGAAACTCTCAGGAAAGAGATCCACACAAGCAAAGGCAAAAGCTCCTGTCTTGTCGAATGGAGAATGCAATGAGGATGAAGACTCTGAAGATGGTCAGTCTTTGGTGGGATATGCAGAACGGAGAGTGATACCAAAAACAAATTATGATGAAACAAGCGCACACTGCCCACTCCCAGGCTGTGATTCCAAAGGTTTGTAATTTTGTATAACACTCCTCAAAATTTTCCCACTTAACTGGGGGGTATTTCGTACCCTGAACAATAATAATATGGTTATAGTTTTGACTGTGTTGCAAATGGCACTATTTTTCATGTGGTCAGCTATGTTTTATTTTATGTTCACATACTTGCAGAAAGTGTCTATATGGTGTTTGAAATGATCAATTTATTAATTAGAAAAATCTCTTCCTTGTAATTTTGTCTTTTGATCAAGGTGCTTATATATTGTGTATTGATTGAATATAAATGATGGAAGAAGTTGTATGATACTCACGATGAACAGGAATGCTGTACAAATAATTGTCTCATTTTTTGAAGGAGTCCTGTGAATATGAATGCTATTGCTTATATTTTGATAGATTTACTGTTTTCTTTATTTTCAGGACACTTAAGTGGACGTCATGAATCTCATAGGACTCTCACATCTTGCCCCCTCTTTCACAACACAACTGCAGAAGAATGCAAAGTAAGCATCAGTGAAACAGAGAAATTTGCAGTTTCAGGGGCAGAGAAAGTTTCCTCCTTTTCCTCATTTATTCTCTCTCTGTCATTGTCTCTTCTGTCTACAATACAGCAATACCAACTGCTTCCTATGCTCAGGCTGTATTTTGTGGTCCTATAAAAATTCTTCTCTTTCAGCTCTTTGTTATTATCACCACTGAGGCACACTTTTATAACCTGTGTTACTTTTATCTGAATTCACTTGTTTTCTCTTGATCATTGGTCATTTCAACTCATGTGAAGTTGGTGTTGTACAATTGGCCACTTTTAAGGACAAGGGAGCTATCCCGAAAATGCTGTTTTGAGAAAATCGAAGGTAAAGTTTTTGCCCTTCGTTCAGTCTCTTCAAAAGACAAGGAGAGTTTTTTCTATAACCAAACAAAACACACCAATGAATCCAAACTTCTCCTATAGGTAGGGCCATGCCCATTTTTGGTGTAGGTCAAAATTTCTGGAAACCCCCGCAATGTGAGTTAGCCCGCTTGTCCTTAAAAGCGACCAGTTGTAGGTGTTGAAGAATATCAAAGAAAAGGGTTGGTTTCTGATTATTTTTTTGGAGGAAATCCTACTGTCATCTTGGAGGAGTAAGAAATCTGTTGAGCAATTTTTTTCCCTTTTGAGAAGGGCCTGGTGTTGTAATGTATTTTCTTTTTCTTTTTTTTTCAAGTAAGTTAGTAGTTAGTAAGCGTTTATTCAGTGTTTAAAAGGCCATTGGCCCACATTATAAAAAACACACGTTTTATAGAGTCTCTGACAACGGCATATATCATAAATGACATGTATATCAACATTTTATTTTATGTTCCTTTTTTTTTTTTGAAGCGTCGCTTTGAGAACAGACTGAAACATGTAGAAGAGAGGAAAAAGGTGGTTGCTGAGCTAAAGGATCGTAGAGGCTTAAGGCATCAGGTAAAATTTGTCTATTTATTCTTTGTTTTCTTCGAAATGTGACAATTGTCTTAAGATTTGTACCTGGCTTGACAAGGCAAGGCAAAGACTCTCGTTAAAGAATGGCGATTGTTGTTTCTTTTGCAATTATTTGAAAGTATTTCGCAAGCTGCAATTTGACTAATAGGTTTTTGTTTGTGATGAAGATCATGTGCTTGTCTTATGATTTTTTTAGTGGAGACAATTTCTATTAAAGCGGGTGCTTTTTTTTGCTTTTTTTCTCATAATCTCTGTAATTATTCCTCACCGTTTATCTTTCAATTTTCTCCCCTGTCACTTTTGTACAAAAACCAAACAGGTCTTGAGTGAAGCTCAAAAGGAGAAACACGACAGAATTATAAAAGCCCGTAGCAAAAAACCTGAAATTACTGATGAGCTGAAAGAAAAGCACAGAAAGCACAAAGAAGAATATGGCAACACAAGGCAGCCTCTTGTCACTGGACTAACATCGGATTACGACTATGAGCTCTTCAAGGAGGCTCAGTCCAGGGCATGTGAATTACTGGTAAGCTTTACCATTACTTTCATTTGTTTGTTGGGGTGTTTTTATCGTTTGTGAGTCATTGTAGTGAAATCAAGCGGTCGTCATAATAATGAAATCTGAGAAATTTGCATTTTTCAACCAGTTTTGGAATTTTTTTTCCCATTTTTTTTTTGGGCTTGTATGTCCATTCAAAGGCACCATTATATGTGAATTTTAAAAGTGGAAAAACGTCGATTAAAGGCACAAAAAATGTAATTTTGCAGTTTCCAAGGACTCTTCAGCTATGGAAGTCATTAAACTATGGCGGCTATTTTCTCGCTACTTTTACTTCTGAAACCAGGTGTTCACCACCTTCGTCAACTGCAAATATTTCAATTTGTATGCAAGATAAACATATATTTTTTTCATCAAAAGCAAGACAAATGAGCAACCTTTAAGATGATACCAATAACTCCATATGCCCAAAAATTGACGAGCGCCTGATTCCACTGTGTCGTGACACATTTAGTTTTGAAATGTCTTTTAAAGCATTCTCATAATTTTTCTTTTGAGATTATTGTCATTGCTACGTCATTAGTGTGGTGTCAGTTTGGAGACATGATTTAGTAAATAGGAAAAGTTTCTGTAATTTTATTGAATTGTGCAGACGAGGATGTTCAGGTGAGGGACAAGTGCTACTATTTTACTATTATAAAAATTTGTACGCTAACGTAAGGAACGTTTGGAGTAATTGGAGAGTTAACATTTCGTCACTTTTTCTGCAGTACTTGAAACTGTCTGAAATGGAACAAGTTTTCTCCTTTAGTTTTGATGAGCTGTATTGCCTTTTGTGATGCTCCTTGTTTAATGTAATTTTAGATAGACCATGAATAATGTTCTGTTGTCAAAATTAGACCATGGCTCCTTTCATGAACATATGCTCTTGTTAACATAGCTCATCATTTTGTTGTTGCTGTATGATTTGTTAAAAATGTTTTCTCTAAAGACACTATCATTTTACTCTTGTCCCGTTCTTTTAGTACCAGTAAAAATGATTAAAATATTACTGTTTTAGTAAAAACCTCATTATTGTCATGTCCTGAAACATGGATTATTGATGATTTTTCTTGACTATGATGATTTTGTTGTTGTCTTAATGCTTTACTTTTGTCTTTTTTTAAAAATGCAATCATTGGAATGAAAGGTAAATATTGTGTGTCTGTTGTTGCACTTTGAATTTCATTTAGTATTCTCAAATGTCAATCCTGCGCAGAGCATGGGCATTGTATAAAAAGATTGAAGTGTATAAAGAATTTTATTTTTTAATGTGTTATTCATCACAATTTCTATCTCTTTTTTTTTTCTTTGAATTGCTTATGTTGTGTAGAAAGGATTGGGAATGTATTCCTTTTCCTTATGCCAACAGGAGCATCAGCTTACTCAGCATTTTGCCAAGTCAGATCTCCAAGAGTACCGCATCAAGAAACTGGAGATTGGTCGCTTTGAGATCAACACCTGGTATTCTTCACCATATCCAGAGGAGTATGCAAGGTTGCCCAAAATCTATCTATGTGAGTTCTGCTTGAAGTACATGAGGACAGCTACCATTCTTCGAAGGCACATGGTATGTATGACACAATCAGAATTGTGTACTTCCTTCCGCTTTGAATGTTGCCCAGATATGTATTTTGTGCATCATTTTTGTATATTTATGGTCTGTTGTGGATTTTTTAAATCCAGGGTTTCCATTGTAATGAGGAAAGAAGGTTACTTTTTTGTTTTGTTTCCTTGTCTCCGAGATAATGTTTTGATGAGTATTTAATTATTAATGTTATTGTGCCTATTTACAAATGAATTTTCTTCAGTTACTGTTTTGTGGAGATGAAATTGTACTGCAAGACCAATACGTTCGGAAATGCTTTGTCAATTTTGTTGCAGATAGACCACTGAATGTTCTTACAGACTTATAATTGGCAAATGGTGATGATAGCTTTAATAAGTCCCCCCCCCCTCCCCCCAACATATTTAGGGGTGGGGGGAGGGATTAGTCCTTTAATATCTGGGCCTGTCAACCTTACTCCTATTGTGTAAAGACAAATTGTATGTACAAGGATTTTGTAGCCTCAGAAGAACAATTTATTTCAAAGAGAGACTTGCATTCTATTTATGTTGTCTTCATGGAATACCCTCAATTCTTTTGACATTGTCTTTTTTTCTGGAATTAAACAGGCAAAATGCCTATGGCGCCATCCCCCAGGAGATGAAATCTACAGAAAAGGGGCCATTTCTTTTTTTGAAGTCGATGGGAAAAAAAATAAGGTATACCTATCTGCCATTGACTAATGATTGGCATTTTGATTGTCATGTACAGAAAGCACATCTTTGATATGATGCATTCATTTTTACAGCACCCATCACTGGGTTCTACTCTTTGTTTTGTTTTATTTTTATCTGTTACAGAATTTTAGACACAAAGATAAGTTTGTCTTGCTTATCTGTTGCATTTTTTTTTTCTAGTTTTTGTTTTACATCTGTTGCTCACATTCTTAAAATCATTTTTAAGAGTAAAAGCAAATGTTATCATTCATACCCTGGTGTTGAACACTGCTCCTATAGTGGTATCTTGTACATTAATTACTTGTAGAAACTGACTTGTATCTTGCTTACTAGCCATTATGGCATCTGGCGTTTAGGGCAGCAACAAAGGATCTCCATCTCTGTCTGTTTTGGGCCATCTTGGTCAATGTCCCCCACGAATGGTTGACTTGTATCTGGCTCCTGGATAATGGAGGCATGGAAAAAAGAGCAGCAAATATACAATGCAGCTGGTTTTTTGTCTTACACAGTTTTGTTTATTTTATTGCATAGTGCACTTAAAGGCAGTTAAAATATGCGTCATATAGTTCACTCTCTTTCTACATCTCTAAACAATACCGTGCTGTCTTCCTGACTAACACACATAATATCCAATGTTTCAGGTTTACTGTCAGAATCTGTGTCTCCTTGCCAAGTTGTTTCTGGATCACAAAACCTTGTACTTTGATGTCGAGCCCTTTTTGTTCTATGTGATGACAGAGAATGACAGCTGTGGGTGTCATATCGTGGGTTACTTCTCTAAGGTAAACCATGGTTGTGTCTGATTTCTTTTTTTTTTTTTTTGGGGGGGGGGGGGCGGGGGGGGGAGGGGGTGGTTTTTTGGGTGTTTGGGGGGGGGGGGGGCGGAGAAAAGAGTACTTGCTATTAACCGTTCTAGCCCCAGCCATCCCTGACCTCAGTCCCAGCCAATATGTCAGTATTTCAGAAAAAGAGGAATGCGTTCTAAAAAGTAATGTAGTATCTTTGTAATCAGGTTTAGATAATAACATATATCATTGTTTAAAGCTAAGTGAACAAATTTTATGAAAATTAAAGTTTAATTAGGTTCACTAATTTAAAAAAATGCTGAAATGCAGTACCCCTGTAACTGAGAATATACGCTCTTGGGACGGTGGCAGGTACAAGCGCTGCTGAAAATATACGCGTTTGGGGCTGGAAGGGTTAAATAATCTAGTCAATCTGTCACTTTTGCATTTTTTGTAATACCGGTATCTAGATTTGTTGTTGTGTTTTGTTTTTCAGGTGAAATTATAGAGATAGTAAAATAATAGTTACAATTTCTCTGAGTTTGTCGAGATGATTTTAGGTTTTGGGATATATTTGTGTTGTTTTGATTTCTAAGAAGGATCCCATTTAGAACCAAGATAGAAGAAGATAAAGGAGAGGGGGTTTGTGGATATTTATGAATAAATATCCACAAAAAAAACAATTACATTGTGAAGAAAGAAAGTATTTTGAATTTTGTTGAAAGCTTTTAGAAGCGTTTTGTTTATTTTGTTAGAAGGCTAAGAGAAATACCAGGCTTTTGTATAATCTAAATAGGGTAAGAGATATAGCTCTTTGATAAGATGTAACTGAAGCTCTCATTTCAATAATATAAATAAGCTTTGCAGAATGGTTTAAATGTATATGCCAGAGAGGATATCCTCAATGGTTGATGAATGCATTTGTCTTTTTAGGCAAGTTTTGTTGATAGAATATAGAATAAAAATGGTACTTCAACCTGAAATATAGTCCAATCAGCGTTGTGTTTTCAGTTGCTGAGGGGTGATATGCTGCTAAAGGACCCTTTAATTTCTGTTGCATGTTTGTCCTTCTTAGTAGGGAACTAGCAACTAAAAGAAATGGGTGCCAATTGTACACATTAAATTAGACACATTTGACAACTTTCCAGACATCTTATTTACAGTCCTATATGCTGAAAACATTGTTTTGGTCTCTACTCTGTTGAATTTTTTATTTGTTTGTGGCATGTGTTCATGTGTGAGGCACTCGAGTTGTGGTTAATTCCCAAAGTTCAGTTTGGCTAGTCTTAGGCTAATTAATAGTGTGGACATTTGATGGTAATGAAACATACTCTTTCTTGATGTACCTTCAATGTTTGAGTATTTTGCCACATTTAATAACTGATTTCTGTCAGGTTAATGTTTGGTGTAGGGCACAGCTCTTGCAACACAATAAGGTCATACGAGTGCTGAAGATAAGAGGTGTTACGAGAGAGTATCAAACACAATAAAGGAGGAGGAGAGATCCGGACGTTACATGCTTGATAGGAAAGAAAGAGCAAACCACACCAGAGTACACGCCAACCACCCGCGGTGTAATGTACTGGCCCACATGATTACAGAGGGTTTATAAAGTAGTTAGCAGGGACCTTTTAACTCATACATTTGTTAGTGATAATCAATTTAGCTATTCATTTCTCTTTTTTTCCAGGAGAAGAACTCTTTCTTAAACTACAATGTATCCTGCATTCTGACGTTGCCACAGTACATGAGACAGGGCTTTGGAAAGATGTTAATAGACTTCAGTAAGTACGGAGTGAGAGACTGTCAGTTATTGATATGTGTGAGCCAAAATAGGTCTTGTCTGATAAAAAATTTTGTGTGTGAAACAATGCTGTGAATTGTTTATGTTTATGTGCTGATGTATGATTAACTTGCTCGACATCCTAGAGCTGGGGGCTCAGATCATTATAGATTGCTTTCTACCACCACGACAGTTGTGACTAATTGACGACAAGTCTTGCTATCGCTACTTCTTTCGACTATATCTACAACATGAAAATGAAGATAAACATAAATCCATCCCACTTTATTGGTCCTCTTGGGAAATTTGTTTCATAATCACACAAATACATTAATGCATAATTGCACGAGTAATACACAATATTACAAACATTCACAATTCAGACACCATTGCTGTTCACCACTGTGCGGCGTCCTGTTTTTGAGCTAGGATTATCAGGTGTTGCTCAAGGACACTCCCTAGTCACGACTCACATTAACTTGACATTCTGAGCCTGAGCTCACCAGCCTGCTTTGAACCTGTACTGAAGAGTGGATGCTCGAATTTTCTTAAAATGTGGAATTGAAAAACAATGGCTCAATTCTGGAGTACTTTATAATGATACATAACGATCAAAACCTATGACTGTACTTCTTTCCATCATGTTCTTGAAATTATCGAATGCTACTTCAGTTTAAATTTTGAGGGCTGGAGAGTTTCTTTTTTTTACCTCTAAAATTTGACCCATATGGTCGGCGCTAGGTTGACAGAAAGATAGATAGGTAGATAGATATGTTAAAATTCTTGATTGTAAGTATTATTGCAGCACCGTAAATCCATGCTTGAAAATTCCCACTTTGCTATAGTTTTATTCTGAGACCATGTGAATATTTTTTTTTTTTTCAGGTTATTTGTTGAGCAAGAAGGAAGATAAAGTGGGTTCCCCTGAGCGACCCTTGTCAGATCTGGGTTTACTATCCTACAGAAGTTATTGGAAAGATGTCCTACTAGAATATCTGCACAAATATAAGGGTCAGGAAATATGTATTAAAGGTGAGCTTCTTTCATTCATGTCAATATTATGAGGAAGAAAGGATAAAAGATAACTGCATCAGCATGAAATGCATATGAGAAGGAGAATTATTAGCTCAACTATTTTAGAAAAGGAAGAGCAAATATATGTTTTTTTAAATGCTGTTTTTTGTTTGAAAGATTGCAGCAAGATAAATAAAGTTTTTCTATTTGCTTTGAGACAATGACAGTTTCAGTCATAATGTGTATTCTAGACTAGTGGTATAAAGAAGCTGCTAAGCTTCCTGTGATATTGTCATGTTGTGTAAAAGAAAAACCTCGAGATGTCATCTCTGACTCAAAGGTTGACCAGTTATGACCCTCCATCCTTCACGGTCGCGAGCTGCCGTTACACATTCTGCTATACCCAGGCCAGTCCATTTTTTAATGTTATCCATCCATTTTCCTCTTTGACTACTCCTGGCTCTCCTGTCCCACATCCTTCCTTCAAGCACTTCTTTCACAACGATCTGGTGTCGTTTAAAGTGACTAAAGTATTGTGTTTAATTTTTCTACATTTTATTTTATTAAGTTTTGAAATACTTTTTTAAAATCCCAAAACTGTATAGAATGTGTCTTGATCTGTTTGGTTATGTTGTCCCATTTAATCAAAAGACTGCACGTCATGAATTTGTAACTGATTTTTCTGTTTTTCTTTTTTAATTCTCAGATGTTAGTCAAGAAACTGCAATCAACGCGAATGATATTGTTAGCACACTCCAAGCATTGGGAATGCTGAAGTACTGGAAAGGAAAGCATCTGGTTCTGAAAAAACAGGTAACTATTGGGTAGTTAATTTATGGCCTTTTGTTGTACATTTTCACAATTTTAGCTGTACTGTTTTCTACAGAAGAAATACCATAATGGTAAAAAATGAGATAGACACTGTGACAGACGTACTTCGTGTGAAGTGTGACTTTTTTTGGATTTTGGATTCACATAGTCCTGCAACTGGCAAATATGTACAGCAACTCCCCTTGGCATAACGTTGTGCCTACCTGCAAAGTACAGTGATGACCTAGTAAAGAAAGAAATGTGCCTCCCTTAGCACTCTTTAATATAATAATAATAACAACAATGCAGATAATTTGCATAGTGCCCACTGCTGTACAATACAGCTCTAGGCACTTTGCAAAACTTTCATCTAAACACAAGATGCAAGAGAATGAACACATGTTGCATTCACATATATTCATTTATGGCTGAACAAAAATGTAATGTTGAATCCCTTGTTAGACTGATAGCAGCAGGATACTTCACAATAGGAAAGTTGAAATCCTTTGCTTTGCCTTGCGTCTCTATGGTGATTGCTCAGAAAGATGTCACAGTTTCACCTTTACTCAGTATTGTGCTTAGTCTTATGTTCCTTTCCTACCCTTCTATTTCACTTCCATGTTTTGGGTGGCTGACAGGCACTTTTTTGGATCTGTTTCATCTACTTATTTTCAGTGTTCTTATTGCTCATATTGTGCCGGAACAACATAGGGCGAACTGCTGCTTTTTCTTTCCTCCTCCTTACAATCGTCATTTTCCTCTACTTCTCTTGTATGTTTCTCACTGTCTAGTGAACTGCTATTTCCGGGGGTGCCTTGATAGTCGAAGCAGACTTTGTGCTGTTAAGGCTAGAGAGGAGAGCAGAGTAAGCCTGATTCCCCATTTGGATTTCTTGGCTGACATCCACCCCTTGGCGCTCAAATGATCTTATGCAGTTGCGAGGGCCGTAAAACCTTACTACAACTAAACTTACTTTCTCCTCCTTTTTTTTGTTGCGTTTGTTACTCTCTTGTAACACTTCTAATCTTCGGCACTTATATAACCTTATTGTGTTGCAAGTGCCTTAAAACAGTTTCTAAAACAAATGTTTCATACTTTTATGGGTGGGCAAACATGTAATGTCCTTATCTCTCCTCCTTTTGTCTGTTTTTTGCTCTGATGTAACACCTCTACTCTTTGGGACTCAAATGACCTATTTGTGTTGCAAGTGCTGTAAAACTCTTACTAAAACTAATATACTTCTTGTGGACTTTCTATGACCATTACTTATTCAATGTTTTCGTATTTTGAAACCTATGTTATCTTTTGTTGACAGGGGTTTTAGTGTCTTCATGTACATAACCTTTTAGGATGTTAGAAGAACTATGTTGGCAGTAAGAGATGAAACAACTATATATTTTTCAGGAGCTGATCGATGAGTTTTTGGAAAAGAAAGCCAGCCGTTCTCCTGACCTGGCAAACAAGGTCATTGACCCAACGTGTCTGAAGTGGATACCGCAAGGGAAGAGGGGGTCTCCATAGGGAAAGTTGGCTGGTCTTAAAGCAATACTTGTTGGCTGAAGAAACAAAAGAGAAAATGGAGAAGCAGAGGAAACTATTTTCAATAAGAATGAAGGAACTCTACGGAAAGGAATTACAAAATTGTCATGTCTCTTTGTGTTGGTATGTTATAGTTAAGGAATTTAGGCAGCTTCTTTTAATGACATCTCCAATTAGTGACTTGAGTCCTGCTTGGTGAAGTATCTCACAATAATGTCGATTTTTGTAGGGTTTCAATAGGGTTTTTATATGCTTTTGTTAAAGCGCTCAGTTGTTCTGTCAGTCCCAAATAATAGAAATGTTTTTTATTTTTAGTACTGAGACCATAACACTGTCATCATGTTTTATATCAAGTCACGAAATCTGGTTTGAAATATTCTCGTGTGGTCTTGTTCATCTGACGTACAATTTTTCCTCATTGTGATTTGTTCAGGCCATTTCCCATTCCATTCCTTTACTTTAAGTCTTGTTTTGCATCTTGTAATTTCTGCTGTTTGTTATTTTTATGTCAAATTTCGATTTGTTTTACATTGTCAGCATTCAGTTTTCTTTCTTTTGAAAGTAATTTTCATGCAGATTTTCCCACTTTTCTTAAGTGAAACCATGACATTTCACTGTAACAGCATTTGATAATGCAGTGAATTGTCATCTATGCCAAAACCCAAAGCTGGAAGTGAATGCAATTATAGATTGTGTGAAGTACTGCTTTAAAATAAAATTTCACAAGCTCATCAGGAAGTTGAAATTTGGACAAGAACAGATTGATAGCATAAATTTTGCTGGTTCAATCGGCTAAATAGTCAGCAACCTTGATCTTGTCAGAAAATGTGGCCAGAGGGTGTTTAAGAAGTAAGGAAAAAATGTATCTGGTTTGCATCACAGAAACAGCTTTACTTTATCTTGATGTCTTGGCAAGATTTTGTTCAGTGACTTATTGTCTTGGTTTCCCCTTCTAGTGTAGCCATACCCTAAGTGATAAGGTCAACAATGTTGTAGAACTCAGTGACTGGTTTCATATCTGTGGGTAATAGGTATATGATATTTTATATATCTAGCTACTTTGGTGTCTCTTGTGTTGACTGTAGGTCAGTCTGTTTCATGTCATATTCCGGAGGATATTTTCTGCCTAGGTATGTGATGCACTGCAGATGTAAAGCCTTAGAAGTTGTGGGGCTGCTCTTATAGGGTCCCTTCCTGCTGCTTCTTTTCAGTGTTACCTATGTCTTTGTTCCTTGTGAGATGTAGGAGGTTGTCCTGCTCACTTGTTATATAAAGCCATCTGTCAACAACAACATGTTAAGTACTCTTCAACAGTGGTGGGTAAAGTGCAAATACAATATATATGGGCCCTGTGGCTACAACGCACTCGATTGCAGCTTTGACCAATACATATAAAAGCTCATACCTGCTCGGGGGTGAAGGATTCTTTTCGTTTCTGGAAGATATCCTCCCTCTGTTGGCCTTTTAATGCCAAATGATAGGGGAGGGAGCGGGAGGAAGGGGGAAGAGAAATTGCTGTCAAACTTTGGCTATTTTCCCTGTAGGTAATTACAGATTCATCGTTGTAGTGTAATGTTTTCTGAGGGTGTGTTTTCCTGTCTGTAATTGACACTTTTGTACCTTGAGATACAGAGAAAAGGAGGCATGAAGATGTTAATTACATTTTACTGTAATGCATATATAGATCACTGCATCGTTTGACTGAAGAAATGGGTTTTAAGTACTTCTCTTCGACTTATGTGAATAACTTTCTTTTGTAATAATATACCTTTGTTGTCGTACTGTGTATCTTTTTTTATTTCTATATGATTTATTGCCTTAGAAATGGTTTGAAACAGCACATTGTGAGGAGGAAAAAGCACAAAGAACAAGTTGGCATTTATTCTTCAATGGTCACCTTTCACTTGTATATATTGTTTTTTTTCTTATTTTGAGGTCATTTTATTGTATGGCAAGGTTTATTTGTGGCTGGGGAAGGGAGCTGATTCGTCAGTATTTGTCTATTGATGTACAGGAGTACAATTTGAAGCCCCCCTCACTCTCTTTCTCCTTTTTTCCTTTCTATTGTTTCTTTTCACTCATGACCTGCATTGTATTGCATTATAATGTTAGTTATTTAAGCATGGTTTGTCACCAATTTTATTTTTTTTCAACATGGCATCAGTTGTCTCAGTCTCAGTCACACAAATGAAATAAATACTTTTCAAAATTGAGGAACAGTTGTCTGTGTGGTTGTATGGTTCATATTTGGTCGCTTTTAAGCACAAGGGGGCTATCCCGAAAAATGTTTTGAGAAAATCGAAGGTAAAGTTTTTGGACCCTTGTTCAGTTTCTTCAAAAGACAAGGAGAGTTTTCTCTATAACCAAACAAATATATACACCACTGAAACCAAACTTCTCCTATAGTAATACACTTTTTGTGTAGGTCAAGATTTCTGGAAACTCCCGAAATTTGGGTTAGCCCGCTTGTCCCAGCGACTGTATAGTATTATTCAATGCCAACCATGGCGGGTCCAATCCTTGTATTTGTATGCTCCCTACTCGGACTGAAATTGATTAAAGTAAAGGCGCACATACTCTATATGTGCTCAATTCAGAAGCCGGGCTCCTATTACTATTATTCTTACGACATTTTTTATGACAGCTTTATGAAAAGTAGATTGAACTTCAAAAGACGATGAAAATCTCCGCGTCCGATGGTATAAGAGGGTTGTGTGCAACTGTCAGTGCCCCTTGGCATATGAGCCTGCGAAAGGCATTGTTTGGGATGGTATAATATGCTGTATCTACTCGTCATAAGTTGACACATGCCAGGTCTTGTTTTGTAGGCTAGGGAGTTTAATCGACAGAACAGGAAACTGCTGTACGTGTGCTGTGACGTAGAATTACTTTGAAATTTGCCGCCACGCAGGATTAATCTTGGGGAGCAAAATTTAAAAAATAATTATCGCCTCTTTAAACTGATTTCATATTCGGAATCAGCGTCTCAAAATTAGCAGAGTAGCAAGCAGAGACTCAGAGAGCCTGATTTGATACGATATTTAAATTTTAGCAATTTTATTATTTAATTGATCGTCAATCAAGTTGTGTATTAAGGTCACTCTGTGCGTTGCACATCTGCAGTGAAGTCAAAGATTCTACTTCTACGCACAACACGGTACAGTACATGTATGGTCACCCTTTTCTAAAGACACTGTTAGGCTATTTATCAAAATCTACAGGGGGGGTGTCAAGACTCGCCGGGTGCCATGTCGTGAGCCGTGTGCCTCCCATGGAAGGTCGGCCTTACGTCCTTTTCTCTCCCTCTTTCCTTTGTACGTAGGGACGTTACTCTCTGGTAACAACTCTTTACTTCGGCTTTTATGTAGATCTATAAAAAGCTCCTTTCTAAAGCAATACATGTAGTATTATTTGATAACTATTTCGGCTCTCCACCCTATTTTTATGAAATGGTATAATAATATGAATATGACATATGCTGGGTGCTCTTGGTGTGATTTTTAAGGATTAGTAGTAGAATCGTCCTAAAAACATTGCCACTACAATTCATTAGACGATCAGTCAGCACAAACTCCCCCCGGACATGTACTAGTAACTAGTGGGTAATCGATGAGTTGTCTAGTCATACCGAGATATGTCATACTTATAGTATAGCCTGTCCATAGCTCGAGGCACTTCGAAGGAAATATTGGCCACTCTATGGGGGCTTGAATGATCTGCCACGATCAGCAGCCTTCGCACTAGAGACTGGGTGTCCATTTAACTGTCCCCGCGGTTTTATGAAAAAAGAAATTATGAAATTATGATTATGCAAACTGAGCCAAAAAATGTGAAATTATACGATTCTGTTAATGTTAACAAAGACTGATAAAGGAAAATAATCAGAAATTATGCAAAAAATGATCAAATTTTGCTAAATTACGCGGGGTGCATAAAACCACGGGGAGAGATTTAAACTATATCATGATGATATCTATATCTATTTAAAGATGAACGAGAAGACCACTACGTGTGGTGTCCTACCCCGACTGCTGTTTCAGAGTTGAGCTTGCAACTGTAAGGTTACAGAGGTACGTCTCTCATGTTGTATCCTTGAGAAAGTTACAGATACATTTTTAAACTTCCATTTTCTTCGTTCCTTCAGCAGCACACAATAAATTATTGTACATATTATTATTATTATTATTATTATTATTATTATTATTATTATTATAATGTAGCTACTGCTTACTGGTCGATAAGCAAGGACAGCAATGTGAAGTAGAGTTCGATGCCACGCTGTAGGAGCTACTAACACTAATACTAATTAGTAATACTACTATGTCCGCAGGGGAAAGTTTGTCGGAATGCTCAGGGGTAAAACTGATAAGAGGAAGTTATGGTTCAATCCTGTGTCTTTGGTCAGAGGGGACACACCACTACAAACAGCCATACATGTACTAGCTTCAACCTCATTCTCAGACTCATGCAATTGGAAGCTGTTTCATGTGTAATTTAATTGAAGGCGGCACACCGTTTTTGCAATCATTCAATGGACCTTGTGTTAGTTCTAACAAGCAATGAATTTCAGTTTATGGGAACATGTACTTCTCTTTCAGTTCATGCCATGCAACTGGACCGATGGGCCCAAACCCCAAAACAGAACAATAACAAATACAACAACCATTCATGTTCAAGTTCAAGCTCAAGCTCAAACGCACTTGCTACGTACAAGAAACGTTGAACTTTATTTACATTTATATCTACATATATATTATAATATAAAACTAACGCATGCTAAAATCACGATGTGCACATTAAAAAGCATATTACAACCAACTTAATAATTAATAAAGACAAAATCATATCACAGTGCATTCTTAAACTGCACAATACAAGCTGTTACAAACATAGGCCTACATTTACAACAGTTATCACATATGTTGCACGAAATATATCATATAAAATAATACCAATAAACTATTTTGGGGGCGTTTTTCCGTTAGTAAAACTCAGTTTCCACTAGAACCAATCATAAGCTGCCGACTTTTAATCAAGGACATCAATAATGACAACGAAAGGGTTAAAATGGATTTGTATTGACAAGATGATAAAAATAGATATGGTAAAACATTTTCGACTCTTCGACGGTTACAGTACATTTTCTCTTGGCATTGCAACAAATTGATTCCAGGTATGTCGAAAATATCTCATGTCCCCCCTCCCGCCCCCGCCCCCCAAAAAAAGAAAAGAAAAAAAAAATTCCCACCCAACTTCATTCTTAAATACAGTGTTGTAGGCCTACTCTGTTCAACGTCGAGAAGTATGCCTAAGATTTAAATCGATCATTAAAAGTTCTTTTAAATGAATAAAATCCTTTAGGCGTACATGTATGACACCCCCCCCAAAAAAAATTTTTTTAAAAATAAATAAATAAAAATAAAATAAAAATCACTCGTATTAAAATATTCTTTCAAAGAGTGCTTCATTTTTGGCTAGGCTAGAATGATTGCTTTTCCCCTGATCCTTAGATGAATAACAACAACGAATATTTCGCAAACGCGTTTAGTATGGGAGTTTCCGTGTCCATTGGCAGCCTCGTCTTTCGAACACTGTCGTGGCGCAGACTCATTGACCTTTTTCTGTCTCTACATTGGGAAATTTTATGCATCTTTTCCCTCACAGTTTCTTCTCCGCTCAATGTGCTTTGTCTTCTCCCCATTCCTAATCTTTGTTTTTACTGACAGCACCGTCCGGCAAGGGAGCAGGCTGCGTACTTTTGGAGGTATGGGGGTTTCTCCGGGGTGGATTTTCAAAACGAGGAGGGTCTTGTCTTTGACTTTGATAGGGGTGGGAATTATTGTGCGGGCAATCATACCTTGGGATGTGGTGGTAGGCACGAGACGGGAACGCCTGCCCCCGAAGAGACTGAGTCTGCCCTAACGACTGTCTTGGTCTCGGAGAGACGTGTTGGACGTGGGGACCGGCCATGGCGTTGTCTTTTATCGCAAGGGAGAAGCTTCGGTGTGACTTTCTTCCACGTCTCTGTCCACGAGGACTGCGAGAGTAGCGTTGGTGCGGTCTTCCTTGTTGTTGTTGTGGTTGTTGTTGTTGTGGTTGTTGTTGTGATTGTTGTTGTGGTTGTTGTTGTTGTTGCTTTAGCTGATTCTGCTGTTTTTGCTGTTCTTGTTCTACGTGGTCTTTCTGCTGCTGGTTCTGTTTCCCTTGTTGTTCATGGTCACATTGCTGCAGTTGCTGTATATTTTGTTGCTGTTGCTTTTGTTGTTTTTCTTTTCGTCGTTCTTGTCTTTGCTCTGATTCGCCGATCCGCGCCATTGAGGCTGATGCTTGTTGTAGATGCTGTTCTGCAGCAACATCAGGTGACCAACCTGAGAGCTCTGGCCATGCGAGTTTGCTCGAGGGTATATTTTTCTCTGATACTTGTGACAATCCCACTGTGCTTTCTACAGTGCTTCCGGTCGCGTAGTCTGTTACATTGTACGCGCGTTGTTGGGACGGCTCTGTCGGTACATTGGTTGCTGTTAGTGTTAGTGCAGAATGGTGCACGCTCATTAAATCTTCATCCTGTGTGAACGAGGCTGCGTCCAGGACCATGGAGTTCTGTTGAAGGTCACTGTTGGAAACATCGGCCGACTCGAAACTTTTAATGTTAAAACCGTTACCAGCATTTCTCAATATTGTTTTCTGAATTTTGCCCAACTTTTGCATGTCACGTAGCGTTTTCTTCCTTTCTGATTCGTAACAGGTCAATATAGACCTCTGGCAATGTATTTTGTAACGAATAGAGGTCTGTGACTGTAACAAAGATTTGTCGGAACCAGAGTTGTTTATCTCTTGCTTGATTTTGCCTTCTTTGTCGGCAAAATCCTGGAGAGATACTATGGCCATCTTGATTCGTTCGTTGAGGTCTTGCAGTTTTTGGCTAAGTCGACGTTCTCGTTCATTGACGTGGCGCATTTTTTTTTCATCGTCAAGATCCACTGTTCTTTCATTGTCAAGACCCACGGTTCTTTCAAAAGATGAACCTCCAAAGAATGAAGGTGCGTGCGGGTTCAAAGTGCTTCCGCGCCATATGTTTGTATTATAGCTACTAGGCCACTTTGCAGTGCTAGGCGAATTTTTTGGTGTGTATATCGTGGCATCTTTGTCTTCAAAGAGTTCATATTCAGAAGCCCAACCGTTGACAGCTCTGAAATTCATTATTCCAGTATTTT